ACTGGTCTGCAGGTCAGATGTAGGCCGGGATCCTCTCCTGCAGACCAGTACAGCTCAGTGCTCAGCAGCCATCAAAAAGGCAAACAAAATTGTAGGCATTAAGAAGGGAATTGTGAAGTCTCACGATTCTCCTTTATAAATCCATGGTACATCCAAACCTTGAATATTTACTGTGCCCTGTTCTGACTTCCACACCGCAAGAAGGATATAGAATAACTAGAGAAGGTCCAGAGAAGGGCAATACAGATGATTAGTGGTAGGGAAGGATTTCCATGAGGAGAGACTGAAGAGGTGAGGCCAATTCATTTTTAAAAAAAAAGAGATGCTTGAGGGGCAACATGATAAGGGTTTACCAAATACTAAATGGCAAAGAGGATTTTTTTATTGACTCTCACAAGACAAAAACTAGGGGTTACAAAATGAATCGAATAGGTAGTGAGTTTAAAACGAACACAAGGAAGTTCTTTTTCACATGGCGTGGGCTTAAAGTGTGCGACTTGTTGCCACCAGATGTGGTGGAAGCCAACAGCTTTACTAGATTCAAAAGACAGATCGGATACATTCTTGGAGGAAAGGGGCTTTGGTAGGTAGTGAGCATGGTCTGAATCACAACTTCCTAGACCTTTAATGCTGGAGGCTGCATGGGTGGAAAGGAACAGTGGAAAAAACCCTGGTCCGATCCTGTTCACTCCCCTTTTCAGCACCCAGTCTCTGCCCCTGTGCAATACAGGAGACTGGGCAAGATGGGCCTATGGCCTGGCCCAGTAAAAAGAAATTCTTATGAACTTATGGAGTGGTTTCTATTCCATTGCAGTTGGCTCTTCTGAAGGAGCTCACTGACCTCCTCCTGAGAGAGGGCCTGGAAGTGATCATCCAGCAGTTGGCCAGCTCCAGGAAAGGCAAGATGTCCAAGAAAAAGCAAGCCACCGACTACCCAGTGAGTATCCATCCCATGGCACTTCTCCACGATCAGACAGAGCCTCAAGAAGAAGAGGTGAGGGAAGCAACAGAGCCCAGAGAAATGACTTGATCAAAACTACAGAGTTAGGAATGGGACCAGCCAGGAATTGGCCCAGACAGCAAGTCCTGTGGCTTTAACCTCAAGTTCCTCCTTCGCTCCGTCTCTCTACTTGATCATTGCAAAGGAGGAAGGCTTTGCTGGTTGCAATGAATTTATGACATCCCCATATTGGAGATTATTGTTATATTGGTTTTGGTGACTTGCAGTCATCTGTGTAATAAGTAATGTTATGCTGAAAAGCACTAACGGTCGTTGATCTGTGGTTCAAACGCAATCTTTTTTCAAGGATGATGGGTGAGACAAGCACCCAAGTGCAGGAAGGATGAAGGGATCAGTTAAGATCCTTTATGGGGGAGAGAGCTGGCAACAACAGGAGGTGCCAGCCAAAGTGATGAAATCCCCGGCAGGACTAAGTTGTGCAGTGTGAGAGGTTTTGCTGGCATTTGTTGCAGGTTTAGGAGCTTGGGGGTTGTTTGACAAAGTGTGTTTGTGTATATGTGGTGGGTCTACATAGTTCCCTAAAAGCAGCTTCGGAGTATAAAGGGCACCTTGGGAAGGCCCCACCTGCTGAAAGGATCATGGCAGTGGGTTGTAGGGGCAAGACTGTCCCTTCTGCTGGATGGTGGAAGAAGTTTTACTCCACTCAGCAAATGCCGGTTAAGGTTGAAGTATGAAGTATGACAGCCCCGATGAAATGCAGACCGCTCTGGGGAGGGATGGTAGCAACCGGCTGGTCCTCAGCCCATTGTACAGCTGTGACAAGGGGGGAATTTTGGTCAAGGGGACTGAATGCAATCTCTGCAGTTACAAAATGTGGCATACAACAGTAACATTTGGCAGACAACATTTGGCATACAACAGCCACATAGAGCAGTGAGCCCCTACAAGAAAGACTTGCAAGATGGCGGGCTCCATGAAAAGCAGTTGATCTACTTGGAAAGGATCCAAGTCTCTTTCAGCCCTTCCAGGATTTGAACTTATGATTTAGCAAGCCCATAACTCAGATCACACAACCTTATCTCATTTGTTTCCTTTGGGGTTTGCAGGGTTCACTGAAGTATGACGCCTCTAGCGATGCTCTGGCCAGCATAGAAATAACAAATGAAGATCAGGCCAAAAGCAATGACCATCAGTTTATGGTCCCGGCCTCTGTAAGACAACCTGCCAAGGTAAGAATCACTAAAGATGGCTGCGGAGAATTAATTCTCTGCGATTGTAGTTAACTGACAGTTCAGGCAGGCTCCTTAGCATGTATTAGGAACTACTTAGCCATTTCAAGATTGCCAAGTTCTCTGTTACATCTGCATTTCTGCGAGGTGCCCTACACCATGGTGGAAAGCAGCTTCCACAGATTAAATCAGGGTAACTGGGACCTATTTCCTTGATTTGAGTGGCATTTGGCCTAACTTATTGTTGGCCTCCTGTGTGGTAAACCAACTATGCTCAATAGAGCCATGCAAACACGCCATGCTTCTCCATCAGGGCAGCCTTTTATTAGCAGAAGGATGGGCTGGGGGCTAGGATGCTGGTCTACAATTCAGGAGACTGTGGCTCTGCCTCAGACTTCCTGTGTGGCCCAGGGAAAGTCACTTAGATGCCTTGCACCTTTATTTCACATCTGTAACATGGGCATATCCCTCCCTCGCTGGGGTTTGGGACATCGAAGTGTGAGGTTTTCAGATACCGTGGTGATTGGTGCTGTATTTTTATTGATTAGATTTATATCCCACCCTATCCAGAAGGCTCAGATCAGTTTACAATAAGCAAATACACATCTGTTTCCATAGCCATTGATACATACAGGAGTGATGAGGCCAGCTGCTTGGGTCACCCTGCCTGAATAGCCAGATACCCATTGACACCTTGGGTGATATGCGCCTTAGGAAGGTCAGTCAAACAAATAATGGGACAGCTGTGGTCGCAGCTCAGGAGCTATAACTAGCAACATAACCCATCTGTAGCATTGTTTGTTTAAGCATCAGTGCCAGGAAGACCTTAATTATTGACTTTCTGTCATCTTATGTACCCTTGTAACAGTGGTGGGCACTGGTCTAGATGGCACCAAGTGTTGTGTGCTGCAGTCCTTTTCTGGTCATGATGGAAAGAGCAGCCACAAAATCCTTCTGAGGACTTTTTTGGGGCATTAATGGCACCGTTGGGACAGACTTATTAAGCCAGGGCTCCACTATGAACAAAGAGTGTCATGGAGCAGGGCAGGATGCTGGCCCCTGGGATGGGGAGTTTTACCATGTAGCGGACACCTGCAGAAGTGGCTGAACAAAGACAGGGAACTGTGGAGAAAAGTGGCCCAATAATCGGTGCTCATGGGCTACAGTAACCCATTAGCACGATATCTGGTGATTTTTTGACTGACCCTCCTTGGTCATGGCGTTACAGAAACCTGGGCACGTGAGACTTGGTGCTTCTATAAAATGTCTTCATCCATCAAAGTGACTTGCCGAAGTGGGTGAACATCATGTGTCCCATCTCCCCAAATGGGAAATGGCAGCAAACAGCTGCGACTGGCCCAAAATCACTCAGAAGGTCAGAGGTGGGAATGGGATCCAGGTCTTCTAGCTCCATACACCTCGTCCACGTGAAGGCAGCTCTTTGGGAGATGCAAGTTAGCAGGCAGCTCTAGGCACTTGGTTGAAGGACAGTGGTTGGCTTTGCTTGCAGCCGGACACTGGTTTCTGCTGGGCCTTGTGCGGTCCTATTTCCCTGTTTTATTAGGATATAATGCATCAGAAGGAGCCTCTGGCTGATGACTCCATTAGCCCCAGCTCTGGGGACAGTGCAGAAGTGGAAATCATGGCAAACCTGATGACCCCTGGTCAGAAATCACCAGTAGCTGAAAAACGAGAGGACCGCTCTGGATCTCTGAACACATCCCAGCTACAAACTAGCCCAGAAGAAACCTCCTCAGGGCGGCAAGGAATTGCTGGATTTATCCCTCTGGATTCCCAGGAGGCATCTGGGTCTCTGAAAGAGCACTTGGGAGGAGTAGGGATGGAAGACGGCATGCAGGTATCGTTAAAACTTGCTTTCCATGTGTAACACCTGATACTTGTTTCCCTTTTTCAAGTTAACCTGGTCTTGAGAACCTCGTGGCATCAACTCAAACTAAACCTTCCTTGCTTTCCATTGTGGTGCCAAGGAGTTGATTTTCTAAGTCAACCCCTGGATTTAGGGCCGGTCTTAGCCTGCCATATTGAAAGCCATGCCAAGGAGCTTTCCCTGAAACTCAAGAGAAGCTCCTGAGAAGTCTCTCGGGACTTCCTTCCCGTGAGCATCCATGGTTGCTGGATGAATTGCAAAGTTCAGGGGCTTCTCATGTGTAACCATGTGCTGGTGGGTCCAGCTTGAGCAGCTCCACTGCTTGCAGCTGTGCCCCATGTGTGACTGGAAAAGCAAGTCTCTCCCATGGGTAGGTCCAAGTTGGTCAATTTTGCCTAGGTTAAAAGCAGCTCCTTTAAACTCCTTTTGGAAGCCAACAGGTTCTGCATCCAGTGCAGCTCCTGGACTGCTGGTGGCTTGGGCTCCCGTTGAGAAGTCCTGTTTAAGAAACAAGCTGATTTATTCTGCCCTGGATTTAATGTCTCAATGAACCGCTCTCAAGGAGGGTCCGGGGGAGTAATGCAATCTGAAGAAGACAGATGGAAAGAGCTTTTCCCAAAAGAAAACCACCCGGATCCCCTGGCATGAACCATCTTTGGGTCCAGTTGCTACTCACTTGTTTTGTAGCATCCTACCTAGCTAGATCAGTGGTTCTCGACCTTTTTGGACTCAAGACACCCCTCAGTAGACTCAAGGCACCTCTTCATAACTTCTGTGAATTGAGTGGTACCCAGTTTCAAAAACTAATATATGTATTACAGTGCTCACTTCCTTGCACGGGGGCTGGGAAGCAAGGGTGGGGGATAGGCAAGGTAGGGACAAACTTCAGGTTGCCCTTACTTGCTTGTCTCCTCACATCTTGTGAGACCCTTCAAAGGATCTGGCATCACCCTGGGGTATGGTGGCACCCTGGTTGAGAATCACTGCCTGAGGTTGTAAGCCATGGTGGCAAATGCTGGGCAGGTGCCTTGTTCCCCAACTCCTCCGGATTGATTGTGGTTGCTTTCCCAAACCAAGCAGCAGTCATTTGGTGGTGTCAGAATTGAACCTCCATTCTGGGTGAAACACTGAGCTGGTTGCTCAGCTCTCACTGAAGAGAGAGACATAAGGATTGATTTTTTCCAGGAAGCTGGTGGCTATCAGATTTTCCCAAGAGCTCAGCCCATTCCAATGGGTATAGAGATGTAGCTAGGAAAATAATGCCTTAGACTGCATATGAGCTGGGAGGCATTGCACCTTGAAGCAAAAATAGTTGTAGTATTTGGGGCCTCCATTGCCTGTGTGCATATTGCCTACCCCAGCCCTAATCTCCATTTTACAGAAGGTGAAGAACCGAGCGCAGGAAGACAAGGGACTTGCCTCAAGTCAGAGCTTGGATGAGGACCTCCTGAGACTTTCCCACCATCTCTTTCTGCTTTAATTTGTTCGATTGTGCTGCCTTTAACTTGTAGCCTTCGTTCTCTCCAGACCTCCGCTGGACTCTCTCCGGAGTCAGAAGACGGGGCCCCAATCCTTGAGTCTGTGAAGCTGCTCGAGCCCATGAAGAAATGGCCTGAGGAGCAAAGGGAGGAGAAAGGCAGTGATGCTGTAAGTTGTCCTCAGAGACAGGGGTTTGGCACTCTGGCTTCTGGGTGGAAATAAGGGATGATATCAAGAGATTAATCATTTCTCACTCCTCATGTTTGCTGCAAGCATCTGCTGTCTAACGCAGCCCATGGGACTTGCCCCAGCTAACTCCTGTGTAGACTAGAGCTGATTTTTCAGGAAGACACCCAGCCTCGGTTTAAAAATGGCCCGTGATGGGGTATTCAGAGGTAAATCCTTTCAATAGTTAGTTATCTCAGTGTTAAAAACATGGCCCTTATTTCTAGTATGCATCTATCTAGCCATTGGATCTTGCCATACCTCTCTCTGGTGGATGGGGAGATGACCCATGTCTGAGTCCTGTATCCCATGTAACCCCTCGTCCCCCTGACCCTGGTCATGGTATGTGAGAAGGGGTCCTGACCTGCCTCCGGCTGGGGCTTCAGGGCATGAACAGGAGATTGGGGCCTGCACCTTCCACCATGTCTAAGGCTGTATTTTACTCTTTTATAGCCCTCACATGTCATTAAGCTCCAGCCCTTTCTCAAAGCCTGAAAGGAGGCATTGTGTGTGGTGCAGAGGTCAGTGGCCACAAGCACCTGTAGTATAATAAATGGATCCTGGTTTTCTCTGATTTAAAAACATCCCTAATTTCCAGTTAAAAAAAGGTAATATTGGGTTGAATTGATTTAAATGAAACATCACTCATATACAGATATAAATCATATTTCTTTTTAAATCGCGGAAAAAATGTGGATTTGGGGTTACAGGCAGTCCGTGACTTTCCGACGTCCGAGTTACAACGAACAGCACTTCCAACATTTATAAATTGCCACTCTGTTTTGACTTTCCGACATCGGTTTCGACTTTACAACCCTCGATCCAAAGCCACGCCACACCAACAAGCAAGTACACTGTGCCAAACCTTCAAAAAGTCCAACCAAGAGCCCCTCAAAAAATCCAGCAAGGTCACCCCAAAGAAGTCATCCAAATCAATATGATTGCTATTTACAATAGAAATACATTCATGTAGCTATATTACTCATCTATAATTGATTGAGTACAAAATTCTGGGTTATTTTTGGTGAATGTA